AGTTATTTGACAAGGAAAGATGAAGAGCATCCTAGGCAGACACATTTGTAGCACAAAGGCAGCTGCTAGAACAAAAAGCTCACTTCTCACCTACATTAGTTATTTTTTATTTTTATTCTTTTATAGCTAGTTGAGTCTTATGCTAGGCTATGGACCAAAGAAAAAAGACAAGAATAAATCAACACCATAATTGAAATTTGAAAATGGACAGGCATATAAATCTTACAACTAAAATCTCATTCACATAATTACCATCCTTCTTCAGTAAAGTTGACAAAATAACCTCACTCCGACACACAAGTCTTTTCAATTTTTGCTCCTGTCATTAATCAAGTATATATAAATAAAAAATAAACATGAAACACATTTCACTTGATACAATAAAATGATTTCCAAATAGAATTCAAGGTTAAGAAACATACCATTTGACGACCTCTCCTTGCATTGCTTTTGCTACCACCGGCATGCGAGACTTTAAGTTTCTTTCTATTTTTTACATTTTGTGCACTTTATTTCTGTAATTATCAAACATAAATTTAATTACATGTAATAGAAGGGCACAATTTCACAAGATGTAGGACACAAGTTCTTAAAGCTATATAAATTGCTTTAACACAGCCAACACCAACAATATTACTTAATGAAAGCAAACAAAAATCAATCTTAAATTTTCAGACTCACAATGGTCTTTATAACATGTTCATTTAGATTGCTCAACATTCATACAACTATATCCTATTTCATAATTGTTGACATCTTAAAAGGAATATCTACTTCCACACAAAGGATGCAATATAAAATTTAAAAGGAAGATATTGGAGCGAGAAAAGAGTTTAAGCTCTAATGATGTTGAAGGGAGAGAGAAAAATCAGACATTGCAAAGCCGAAACAAGAACTTACCAACATATTTGTAGCATTCATTGACATCACATAGGTTTCTTATAAGTAACTAGTAATTTTCAGCCCTTTTTGTCTCTACAAATTTAGCATATAAGTTATAACTTCTAATTCTTATTGTATTTATAGTTGAAGGCATATTTAAATGTACAAAATGAGTTATATTGTGTATGTACAGAACTTAGGAGTTAGAAAGTTTCATATTTCTTCCTTTCCATACTTTTCTGAAGTAAAGTTGTTATGTTGCAGGAGTCCAATGGAGTAGTAGGGTGAATTGCGATGGGCTGAAAACTAATGCAAAGGAAATGTTTCATGGGATGCTATTTACAGAATGACACTTACAAGGATAATTTAACACTTGTGGCAGATGTCTAACTGAGGATATTCCAAAGCCAAGAAGAATAGATGAAGTCCTGATCAAAATGATCCTTCAAAAAGTATATTTGAGAGCCAATTTGAGACCTTAGTCGGCTAGAAAACTAGGAGAACTGAATGTATACCCAACATAAATTGTGTTGAAATTGTTTTTTTTCTAAGAGTCTACATATGCAAGCCTAGAGATTTCGAATGAATATCGAACCTAGTTCTTCTGTTTTTTATTTTTACCTTGAGTTGTAAAGTCCATTTTGGTTATTAATAAAAATTATTTACCCAAAAAGTAAGAGAAAGAAAGAATCAAATTATGAACAACAATTACCTTCATCTTATCCTCATTACAGTGATGCACAAAGGCAATCCAATCAATAGAATCCACATTTTCAGGAGGCTTGGCAAGTAGCTCTTCTTTACTTTTGTTGGGGTAGAAGTTATTACATCGTAAAGATTGCATCACCCATTTCAATCCAATCTCATAATCAAACTCAAAATTCTCCTTCAAATATGTTTGTATTCATAAATCAGTACCTATTGAAAAAGATAACATTATTTGAATGGCAATAAAGTTAGCTAGTTACCTCAATAAGTTGCCATTGTCGTTTTGTTTTTTCATGTGGCATCCTATCCCATCACTCAACTAATATGGGACAAAATACAAACATTTGAGAAAGTTTGCCAAGAAATCTGATCACAAGCAAATTTGAACCATTGTCACTTCCTTTTCCATCACCATTTAGTTCCACCATGATTTTTTAATTTTTTTCAAAAGTTTCAAACTCGATTTGATTGCATCTTTTGAGTAGTAACTTCTGCGGTTGAAGTATCTATCATTTTAACAAGCCATTAACACAAATGAAAAGTAATGATAACAACAAACTAATAATAAAGAATAAAAAGCAACAATCAACTCTAATATGAAATTACTTCTAACCTCTAATGTGGACAAGTAACGACTCATTTTTCACTTGTGAGCTGGCTCCAACAAAACTTGAAGAAGAAATTAAATTTCCATTACCGAGAGTAGGAGTTGTGATATTCTCATTCACAATTTGGTCATCTAGTTGATCAAAATTTAGGGAAATTGTGCTATTGTTGTCAGCATGTCGTCCTCGTAGGCTTTCTAACAATGATTGTGCTCTTACAACTAGAAAACCCAATAAAACTTAAAACAATTAGTAACGTATTTGATCCCAGATAGGCACTGCTCTTTAATTTTTCAAATGTTGGACTTAAATTCCTGTTCCTTATACAGAAACAAACGATAACTAGAACATGGTTTGAAATGCACAGAACAAAAAAAAAAGAGATCTAAACCTGCAAAATTTCACACCTCTCAAGATTTATATATAAGTTTATAGGTTATCGATTTATGGTAATAATTCCTCCAATGTATAATCTTATCTACAAAATTCGTGGTGAAAATATATCCATCAATCTTTCCAGAGGTGTGAGCATGATTTTTCCAACATAAATAAAGTAGGATGTATAACCTACCACTAAAATTTCTATTCTTTACAACATGAAAACCCAATAAAAACACATCAAATTGCAGATTTCAAAAGCTCATAACTTCAATAAACAAAAACTTTATTCAAAACCCTACATTCAATTTTGAGTTTAAATACACTAGATTCCAAAGATTTGTTACTTGAACGAAGAAAACTTACCACATTACACAACTATTTGAAGCGGCTTTTGACAGAAATCGATTTTGAAGAAGAGAGTTGAATTTTGGGCAGAAATCGATTTAGATTTTGGGGGTTGATTTTGGGTGAAGTGAGAGAAAAGAGAGTGAGTAGAGGGAAATAATAGAAAAGGAGGCAAATGAAAAAATAAAGGGAGGGAATGAAATTTTACCCGGCTATTTTAGCCACAGATGTTTAGCCACAGTTCATACAATGTAGAGAATTTTTTATTTTTTAGCTAATTTTGCCACAATTTTTGCGACCGTGGCTAATAAACCGTGGCTAAAAGGCGATTTTTTGATAGTGATCAGGTCTAAAGAACCCGTCGTTAATTAGCTACAAGATCCATCAAGGTCACTCTTACTGAATTTCCTGTTGACCTACAGAAAAGTTTCTGATTATCACATCTGAAGGAGCAAGTGGAGACTACCCGGGTAATTCATGAATGTTTTTCTTTTGAAGTATGATAGTAACATTGACCCTAGAGGTAAAATAAAATGAAGAGTCTCATATCATTATATACATATTTTATTTACATAATTCTTACCACTCAAAGTAAATAAAAATAAATGCCAAAATTCATTAATAATGCTTTCCATTTTTGTGTCATTTATCATATTCGTACTATGTGACAAATGATAATTGGTTTAACGAGATGAATGATAATAGTATATGGATTGTTACGTGAGAATCATATAGATTCGTAATTTTAGGACCTTTTTTGTATTTGTGCGGGAAATAAAGTGAGATTTAAACCCTTTATATCAGGGTGAAGATGTGGACAACTCTCCAATAATTAAGCTACGTACACCTCACATGTCTTTTAAACAATTTAAGTAATGTTATCTCCAACTTAAATTCCAGTCTGTAACAAAGCAAACTTACCAGAATAATCCATTTGATATCATAATCAAATTAAAGCTGATAGAGCTATTTTCGTACCTCATTTCTTTAAGTGGGAAGTATAAGCAAAAGCAAACTACAAACGCAAATAATGCGTATGATATTTATTTAGGGACAATGATTCCTCAATTATTTATAAATTTTAATTTGGATCCTTGTGAAATCTTAAAGAGCACATCTAATCATCAATTAACTGAAATTTTTGTGTGTTTAGACTTGAACTCTTCTTTGAACTATATTATCGTTAATTATGGAACAGTGTTTTCAATAACGTTTTTTGGGGCGAGTCTCGGGGCGGGGCGCACCAAAAACGCACCGGGGCGCAAATGTAAGGCGTAGATCCATAGGGCGTAAGCTCCAAGCGTAAAACGTAAGCCCGGCCCTGGGCGTAAAAATGTATGCTCCGGGCTTTTTTGTTTTTTGTTTTTACTTTTGAACCTTTTTTTGCTTTAAATCATATTCTTATTATTGGTGTAATGATATTTTTCAAATAGTAATTGTAATACTTTTTTTCTTCATTATTGGTGATTAATACCTTTCTCAAATAAAAATCATAATATATATTATATATATATATATATATATATAGGTTATTTAATAAAATTTATTTGTAAATTAATTGAATGTAATAAAATTATAAAATTGAATATACATGAGACTACGCCCCGTAGATTCATAAGACTTACGCCTTGTGTCTCGGAGCTTACTCTCGTCCCGTGACGCATAAAATGTCTCGCCTCATGCCCCCTCCTTTTAAAACACTGATATGGAATAACAACACAAGTTTAACAAAACACATGAGTAACTAAGTGATAAAATGATTAATAATTATATATGTTAAATTTGTGAATATTTACCAGCAAAGGCATCAAATATGCACATACCAATTAACTGGAAAATATTGACAAATAAGAGTACACTTACATGGCCTCATGAGTTGGAGTGGGTTCTCTGCAGTTGACCGGTGATCAAACAAAGAATATATATCTATATCCAGAACAAGCAGCTTTTTACCTTCACAGCATCTGAATAATCACCAATATATCTCACAACAGCTTTTGAACCTAAGCCTACCTCTCTATCCTTAAAATTTGTCTTAGCTTCTTCTTCCTCCATCTTCTTCCTTGGCTGCAAGTGGCAATGTGGAATCTTTGGTGTCTCTCATGCTTGGTATTGCTCTTTGCAATAGATGTTGTTGGTCAAAGATTTCAAACAAAATGGCTAACACTAAGTGGTAACACAATTCTTTTCATTTGCTCACTTTTTTAATTGTTAGTGTAGTACGTCTGGGGATCTTGATAAGTAAGTAACTGAACACAACCTTAGCTTTACAACATTTCGTAGTCGTTATAGTGTTTTTAATTCATTGATTGTAGGAGATGCACCATTAGTGATAGCGCGTGGTGGAGTTTCTGGATTATTTCCTGATTCAAGCTACGAGGCATATACTATGGCAATGGAAACTAGCTTGCCCAATGTCATTAGTTGGTGTGATGTGCAACTCACTAAAGATGGAGTTGGTATCTGTTTTCCAGACCTCAAGCTTGACAATGCCTCTGACATTGATGTTCACTACAAAAATAACAAGAGTGAATACTTAGTGAATAGAGTGTTAATACAAGGATGGTTCTCTGTAGATTTTAATTTCAATGATCTCGCACCTGTCACCTGTAAGGTCAATATAAAACCTATTTGGTAGTTTTCTTCACAAACATATCATGTTGTGCATGCATGACTGTAGGTGTAAAATTTTGGAATCAATGTCCAAGAATGTCATTTTTGCTTTGTCAAAATATCCCTTTGATCCTTTCTATGGTTTATTATACTCCCTCCGTTCCTTTTTAGTTGTTATGATAAAGTTTGACATAATTCTTAAAAGATAAAACTAATAAAGAGTGTTGTTTGACCAATATATTCCTTATTAATTCTTTTACTATATTATTGTAACTATTTGAGTGTCCTCGTTTGTAGGTTTATCACAAGTGTGAATTGATATAGTTATGCTACTAATATTTAATAAAATGTTTTATTCTTCACATGATTTTTATGTTTTAATCAAAGATAACCAGTAATATATGATGTCTAGTAACGTAACTGATGCTTTACCGGACAGTGAGGCAAGGAGTTTATATTCGAACCGAAAAATTTGATGGAACAAAGTATAGAATTCTTACTGTCCAGGATGTGGCAAACCAAGTTAAACCTCCGGGATTATGGTTGAACATACAGGTACTTATATTTAGTTATGATGATAAGTTTTCACTTATAAAGTTGTGTTGTACTGCTTTTACTGATCTTTTGTTTTGCAAATCCTTTTTACAGCATGACAATTTCTTCACCCAACATAATCTTAGTATGAGAAGTTATATTATATCTCTATCCAAGAATGTTCTCATTAACTATATTTCATCACCTGAGGTGACTTTCCTCACAAGTATTGTGGCACGATTCAATCCACGAGTTACAAAACTTGTTTTCCGGTTTCTCGGACAGGATGATGTTGAGCCTTCAATAAATCAAACATATGGTTTCTTATTGAACAACCTCACATTTATCAAAACGTTTGCCTCTGGAATTCTTGTTCCCAAATCTTATATCTGGCCGGTGGACAACTCCCACTACTTGCAACCATATACGTCGCTTGTGTTAGATGCTCATAAAGAAGGTCTTGAGATTTTTGCATCGGAGTTTGCAAATGATGTACATTTTCCTTACAATTTCAGCTATGATCCCACATTTGAGTATTTGTCCTTCATTGACAATGGCGTCTTTTCTGTGGATGGAGTATTGTCTGACTTCCCAGTAACTGCATCAGCGACAATAGGTAACCATGCATGCTACAATTGATGAAATAGATAAGAGAAGCTCCGTGCTCGCTCTTACTGTTGTTTTCATAAGTATTTAGTTGACTGTGATCAATAAGCTTCTCCTATCCTTAATTTGAGTATAAAAACAAACATGAAAGGAAGGAAAAACAAGTAGTTTTATTTAAGATAAATTGATCACTAATAGTGATATCAAAGGGTAGACTTGGACACACTAGATTTGTAAATGTGGTGGATAGTCATAGATGATGGTGATCTCAGGTGCCTCTATAATATCTATCCATTTTATATTCTTCATGTTTTGTGCTATTTTGCTTTAATTTCTATCGGGGTACTCATCATTAATATTCCTATACTTGCTGTAATATTGCAGATTGCTTCGCTCATTTGAACAAGAATGATAAACCTCGAGGTAAGCAACTTGTTTTTGTGACATTGGTGAATGTTGTTTTGCTCAGTATTTTATTCCTGAAATATGAAAATGCAAACCATTATATATCATGCCAAGATTGAAATTTGAATAATACTGTAACACTTAACTACAACCGTGTTATAATTAATGGGTATAAGTCAGAAAACATGTTAAGATAATGATAAAAAATATCTCCTTACAGTTTGTACAAGACATTATATCTCCTCACTCTTTCTGAATTTCCACAGAAAAGTTTCTGATTATCACATCTGAAGGAGCAAGTGGAGATTACCCGGGTTGTACTGATATGGCATATACAAAAGCTGTTTCGGATGGTGCAGATGTCCTCGACTGTCCTGTTCAAATGACAAAGGATGGAATACCCTTCTGCCTGGGTTCTATTAATTTGGTGGATAAGACAACAATTCTTCAATCGCCATTCAGCAATATTACTAATACTGACCCAGTACTCAACATAATTACTGGAATATTCACTTTTAACCTTAATTGGGATGAGATTAAGAGCCTGAAACGTAAGTTGAACCGACTAATTTCTTATGTTTAAACATCTACCTAGCTCCTTAAAGTTATGGATGTCATGAGTTTTCTGGAGGGTAATGTTGTACTTAACATGCTCGCTCTCACTTCTTGTAGCTGCAATATCTAGCCCATGGTCAGGGTTTGGATTGTACCGAAATCCAAAAGCCATAAATGATGGGAGCTTTGTGTCGTTGGTGGATTTCTTGATATATGCAAAAAGTGCCACAACTCTATCTGGTGTCATGATCAGAATAGAGGTGAGTTTATTCATGCAGGTTCTGTACGTTGACATTGTTAATTCCAACAAAAGACATTATGTATCAGCAAACGTAAAGCAACAGTTTTTAGAATTCCCTTTTCTTTGTTAGTCTGTCCCAAGACGACAAAATGTTACATTGAAATAACTTAACTTTAAAATTCTCCTTTTACAATGTCGTCTAAGGTACTTGGTACAGCGGGTGTAAAATATTTAAATAATATGTTGTCGAAATAAATGAGGACATACATCTTTATCTGTGGCACTTGTGCAGAAGGCAGATTACCTGGCAAATCAGGGATTTGGTGTAATTGCTGCTGTTGTTGAAGCCTTGAGGAATACTGGTTACAATAATCAGACATCAAAGAAAGTTATGATCCAATCTAAAGACAGTTCAGTTCTGAAAGAATTTAAGAAAAGAAGCTATGAACTTGTTTATATGATAGATGATAATATCAGGGATATTGAGAGCGCAACTATATCCGAGATCAAGAGCTTTGCTAGTTCAGTAATTTTAACCAAGAATTCTGTTTTCCGGAGTGAGGATGATTTTCTCGTTGGGAAAACAGATGTGGTGCAGAAGCTGCAATCATCAAATCTATCAGTATACGTTCAACGCTTTAACAATGAGTTTGTGTCTCAAGCATGGGATTTTTTCTCAGATTCATCTGTAGAGATAAACAATTATATTGTTGGAGCTGGCATTGATGGTGTTATAACAGATTTCCCTCGCACAGCTGCTACATACAGAAGTAAGTAATTCCTGAATTGAGAAACTGATAAGGACAAGTAGAGATTATATTTTGAAATAACACTGATTTTTTATTTTTTTTTGGCACTTTTATTGAGCTTATATTTGTGTGTTGGGTTATAGGGAACCGTTGTTTGGGTTACAAACACCGATCACTGTATTTTAGCCCCGTTGAAACTGGAGGTCTCCTACAATTCATGTCTCGTCAGTCATTGCCACCAGCGGAACCTCCCAGCCCTATACTTACGGAAAGTGATGTGGTTGAGCCACCTCTACCTCCTGTTGCAAAGATAACCCCTGCAAGCAATGCTGATGCATCTCCAATCGCTCAATCCTCAGTTGTGGCTGGCGTTTTGACATGCTGCCTCACCATTCTGCTTGCTGATCTCAGTTAGACTTGTTAGAGGCGTCATAGAGATGAAGCTATGTAGAGAAATGAGATTATTATCTTGAATTATTGTATTTACTATCCAACTGATCTCTGGTGTACATGATGCCTTGCTCTAATTCAGTTTCAATTGAACAATTCTAGAGACAATTTCTTCTTTTCATATTTCCAGGATACTAGTGCATCTCCAAACTATATTAAGTAGCTAGCCTGTGATTGATCTTCTGGTTTGTAGACATGTTCCCTAGTCTTAATCACAAAATGCAATCAAGTGATTATTGCCCTTTGTTGCTACGAACAACCTAAGGCCTCTTTCACTACTTCCAAGAACTGACTTAAAACTTGGCATCTATAACGTTTCATTGAGTCAGGTTGTCACGACCCAATTTAGCTTCCAACGAATTTTTCTACTCAATTCATGGTCTTTTAGAATTGGGTGTTTCTTCCTAAACTCTTATTGATTATCAAACCCAACACAATTCATAGAAATCCTCATACAAACCTCCTCAAAACATGACTCTTACCCAAGATCCACAATACAAAAGGATTCACAACCTCCATTATTCATGAATTGATCAAAAATCAAGAAACTATGATTTCATGGATAAACTCAGATGTATGGCGTGAGGACGACAAGTCCATCACTGTGAGAAGCCTTACATACTTGGAAAGAACAATGTTCTTAGCGAAATCCACAAATCAGCTGCTTGAACTTAGCCCTTAATCTCCTCTTGAAACGTTGCTCTAAATCCATAAGTGTTTAGGAGCGTGAAAAAGTGGTTTAATCAGATTAGACCCTTATTTGGTTAAAAAACGTGTTAGGCCTAGTGGGAAAAGAAAAGACCAAAATACCCTTTCCTAAAATGAATGAAATGCCTTAAATAGAGAGGCTTCACTCAAACGGACATAAATTTTTACTCCGAGCTCGAAATTTATCAAACTTGGCGTCGTTGGAAAGAGGACTGAAGAGACCTTCAATTTAATAGTTCATGATCCACCTAAATATTTATGTGCTAAAAGATATGATCATTTAAAATTGAACCAAAACTAAAAACTAATGGATGACTTGCATGAATTTCTATTTAGCTCTTTTAAAGTTCGATGTGTTACAACTTCTACTAGAAAATTTGGTGCCATTGCTTGTGTCTACACGTCTTTTATTATTTTGCATGTCTTTTTCTTTTCTTTTTTTTTTGCTTTTTTCCCTTGTTTTGACAGTCATAATTGGCCTTTTGATTTAGTAAAATATGGGATCATTGGTCTCATTTTCAAATGTTGGGAATTCATTAACATATTTTGACCCTCTCGTCTTTTCAACACACCATCAAATTTTACCAAACACACCTTAAGCACATTTGTATGAGTTTAGTGACATCCATATACTTATAATCAATGTTTATAAAGGTTATAAATCTAAAATTCTTCACACGTGAATTAATAAATATGATTTAAGAAGTTAACTTGTAATGTATATAAAAGAGACTTGTATTTATGTTGATAAGATAATATTATAAATTTGAATAAACGATCAAAATAAAAGCCCAATATTTTATAAATATTATTTCTCTCCAAAATCAAACCAAATATGAATAAGAAACTACATAACCTCATGCAATAATTATAGACTTCTACTTAATATATATTATATTTTAAGAGATCTTATTGGAGTGCTACTAATTTTACGCATGTCATCACATACACATTTTCCATCTATACAAGATGTTGGATGCCCCTGACAATAATCCCCACAATCGCTCGAAGTGGTGCATGGTGGACGGCGGCGGCCTGCTATAGCTTCCTCACTCTGCATTCCTATAAAACAAAATTAAACTCAAATTTAGTAACAGAGTTTATACAAAGTTTTAATTTTAATAACATGAGAATAACTTAATATTGGATAGAAAAAATTGTGTTAACAACTAGGTGGTCAAACTAATTGGTATAGATTGAAAAATAAAATTGGTTGGTATTTTGTGTATAAATTTGTTGCTTTCATTACCACAAAATGATGGAAAGATCTCGTCACTTTTAATCAAATGTCTCGTATTTGAGGCCTAATGAATTTATTTTGGTAGGGAAAGATTTCCCTAGGCCTTACACAATGCAAATATAGATTAGTTGAAAAACAACTTCTGAATATTAAATAATTGTTATAAAAACAGGATCTAAGCATAAAAGGGAATCTCAAAATTGATAATTCTTTGAAAAGGCATTAACCCAACCATTTATCTTTCAAAATTCCAAATGTTAATTTAATTCGAATACATTTTTTGTTAAAATTTCAAATAAGACATTAGGCATGTTTGCAACTAAGATATCTATGTTAAAAGAGAGAGTGATAGTGAAGAGATATACCTGTTGCGATGAGAATGAAACAAATAAAGGAAATCATAGCGAAGGAAACTTTCATCATTGCTAATTATGTAAATAGATCTATAACAAGTGTAGCTCTTGTACAAATATATGTTCCATTTGTTGAGATATATATAGTTTTGAGGATCATTTTATATTTATAATTTAAGGTAATGCAATCTGATTTCAATTTGAAAATATTAGTAAGTGATTTATTCCTGATGGTTTGATTAAAAGTAAACAAGTTTGACTTTCATTATTCTAGAAAAATACTTTCCTAGTAGTGATGTAATGGAATCAAATTACATGTAATTAATAGATATGCTTGACTTGTCCCAAAAAGTTAATTTATTTGAGTGCATCTGACTTATTTGTTCCTTTGACTATTCTATTATTCTTTTAAAGTACATTTGACTATTCTATTATTTATAATTCTGAATCTCCAACTTTACTATACAATTCTACCTTCAATCATTATTATTTTAAAGCATGAAAGTGGTCATGTCCTTGAACCATGAGGACTTACCAAGTCTTGAATAAGCTGGTCAGAATCCATGCTAACCGCAAGCAGGATGTGGAGCGTCGGACCCTATATTATAAAACAATATAGGCACAAGAAATGTACGCAGTCAATACACAGAATGCACTAAGTATAAGGAAAGATAGTGTGTAAGTGTTACACCCCAAAAATTTCTAAATTAACATCCAAACTATTCTTTATTTACGTATAAGGTCTTGTCGGATGATTCTTAAATTATGCTTAGGAGTTATGGTCAATTTTTTTAGTGTGCAAATGATTTTGGATATCAATTAAGGTCACTAAGATCTCCTAGCACAAAGTTGAGTTGGAAGTTTTCTTACCGATTAAGTTTCAATGTAAGACTATACTTACATCAACTTCAAATGATCATATCTCTCAAATTAAAGGTCTATGGATCCTCGTTCCAACTCCACAAGTTTGTCTCAATCCAATTTTTGAGTAAAAAGTTACAACTGATTTACTAAAGACGCTCTAACCTGGCAGCAGCTCCGCGATGGCTCGGTGTTACGGAATGAATATGGACTTCACTGTCCGCTGGAATAAAATCCCGACTTTCAGCTCATTTTATTTATTTTTAAAGGATATTTTTGTCCTAAAAACCTTTATGAAGTCATCTATATTACCCTAAACGTGTAGAAAATTAAGCGACGGACAAAACCAAACTGTCCGTCGCTTTTCTGGATTTAAAAAAAAATTAAAACCCAGAAAAGTGACGGACTAAACCACGTTGTCCGTCGCTTTTTCTGCAATATTTTTGACAGTAGCAGCTCTCAGCTTCTGCTGTCCACCTGCAAATGCAATTCAATTCAATTCTACACTATTCAGCCCAATCAAACACACACAATTATAAACAATCTAAACAAACATAAAACAACAAACTTAAAATAACATTCAAAAGTATCTAAATCATAAATTAAAGACTTATAAAGTCTTTTAAATTTTCAAAAAGTTCATAAATGTCCAGAGATCTAAACTAGGGAGTGAGATCTACATAATCATCCTCATCACTCTCGTCGTCGGTGTCATCGGGAGCCGAAGTAGTAGGTCGACGAGCGAGGTTCATCACTTGTTCTTTGATTTGCTGAACGGTCTCACTCATGCTTTGCTGTTCAGCTACTCTTTTCCGCTCTGACTCTGCTAGTGCCGCTGTAAATTTAGCTATTTGATCCGACATAGCAACAACCTGAACACCGTCAAGTGCCTCAGCTTGACGTGACGATCCAATACCTTCTAAGCCTGACTGAAGGCGTCTAACATCGTTGTGAGAGCCTGGACCATAGCATCTACCCTTGTGTGTCTCCCCTACCACTTTTTCTTTCCAAATCTGAGTGGACAGTTCAGGTGTCAATTGAACCGAACTATCTAGATTCTCAGCGACGTATTTATGAAAGTTATTTTGCATATTAAATATAAATATTGACATCAATATGTGTACATATCATAAATATATTCACGATTGATATATATTATTCATATTAGATAATTTACAAAAGTTCGTTCGGCCCTTTCCTCCACCCAAACATCCGGATCCGACTCATTTTCTTTCTTCCTGACATGAGTCTTTTTGAAAACCTCTGGTTCAATGGGAGTGCGTCCCAATTCTTTTAACTATAAATAAAAAACTGAAATTAAGCACTTACATGCACTACAAGGATACCTAACCAATCCATTAATCTTAAAAATGTCAAGTATCATTGTATGTTCAATAAAATTTCTAACACCGTCAATAAACTCAGGTTTCAAACCAGCACCAGTTTCATAATGCATATTATACATCCACAAACGATGATCCATTACAAAAATATAGATATTCAATTATATTATAAATAAAATTTAATAATAATTTTACTAGTAGTAGTCCTAACACTAGTTTAGTATTGACAAAACCACATTATTTAATTTAACTTATTTAAACAACTTAACAACTTTTTAACTTGAATTAGTTTAGTTTCGACTTAATTCCAACAACTAAATCCATCAACAAAACCACATTATTTAATTTAACTTATTTAAACAACTTAACAACTTTATAACTTGAACTAGTTTAGTTTTGACTTAATTCCAACAACTAAATCCATCAACAAAACCACATTATTTAATATAACTTATTTAAA